AATTTCCTCGTCGAACTTGATCGAGCGTCAAGTTCAATATTTTTTCGATATTTACTGTTGGTCCAAGTCTGCAACAGTAGTGATAGAAGAAGAAAGAAAGTTATTACCGTAACGTAATAATATTTATCAGGGAAAAAAAGAAATTTTTTAATTTTATATAACATTGTAATGTGTATACTTGTACCGTTTGTTTGACAATAAAACTTTTGTTCGATATAGCATCTTTTAATTTATTTGTTTTATCGCTGATAACGTTTCCTATTTTTGACGAGAATTCTGCCGCGACAACTGCTATTGAAACTTAATGCTCGTACGTCTGTCAAGACCTTGAAGACTCAAGATATTTCAGATTTTCAAGAATGAATGGTATTCGAGACTCGTCGAGAATTCTAAACTCCGAACGACATTCCAAAACGATTCGAAAAGCTTTTAATTGTTTCGAACGGTCGATCGATATTTGCTGGTCGATCATTTGGGTTGTTTTGGTAACCGTTGACTCGCGTTCGATGCCAAAGAGGCGACGACATAACGCGCGCGAGATTCCCTTCTTCTCAGGGCTTCGGAGCCGCAAACGAGGCAAAGGCCGCGAAAGAGAACGCGTGTCGACGACGATTCGTGCCAAAATCCTTGCCAGAGAGATCTCGATGTTGTTCACTTCGGCAACTGACAGACCAACCAGCCAAAGAGGAAACAGAGACAACGATCCGACAGGAGGAGGAGGGTGTCAAAATTTTTAATAGTAAACGCATATACATTGTTAAAATTGATCTTCTAAAACAACTGTCTCGCGTGACCCCGTAAATAAAAGTTTGGAGGCGCCTTGGGTGTCAGGTACTTAACAACGGTAAACAACGATCGAGAATTCTAATACGCGACGAATAGCAACAGATATTCACCCCGTGAAGATTCCAACGTTTCTATCTTTTCGATAAAGCATTCTCGTACGTAAGTTTGTTGATTTGTATGGGCTCGGTAACACGTGGTGTAAGGTTAACACACTGAACTCATCGACAGAGTGGTCTCTATGTGGTCTCGTTGATGTTATGTCAACCGATTTCATGATAGAAGAATAGTTTGATACTGTGATATAAGTAAATAAATAGTGGAGGGATAGGAGGAGGAGGCGGTCGATGGTACGATGGGGAAGAGGGTACTGGTCCCACGTGCTCGATATTGCACAAGTAACCCGGCGGTCGGCCGTCACTCTATTTTTAACGATACCGGCCGCATATTTAACTTGCACCTAACTCAACCTAATCTCTTTTCCTCTTTGTCTCCGTCGATCTGTCCGTTTCTCTCTCGATCGGTCATCATCGCGCGCCTCGCGTTTCCTCCATCAGAGAATTCACCGATTAACGGCTGTCGTCGTTTTCGAATTGCCAATGCAAAGTACAACTCTTGCCCCGAACTTACGTACCGATTGCTACCAAAATGGCTGACGTAAACATCATAGTCAACCAACGTATAGATGATAAAAACTCCATTCTTTGGTAAAAACTCTGGGATCTTACTCATTTTGCATTGTTTTTACACTCGTAACAATACGTTCCACGTTTCACTGATCGTTCTTTAGAAACGCAAGTTAAGCTACGACTGTATTAGATATTTGAATCTTTTGGAACGCGACTGGAAATCATGGTCGCGGTCGCGGGTTAATTACACACTCTCCTTATCGAGCTTGAAAACACATAGAAAGATTAATATTGCCCCTCGGAGGATTTTGATAAAATTGTAAAAACAGCGTGTCGGGGACGCAGATAAAAACGAGAAATAATCTGTCATTCTATATTTACGGTGAGATTCTCACGCGTACGCTCGTTCGTCTATGCGAGCAAAACCTATATCGAATTATCTACAACCGTCGCTAATTTATCAACCGAGGTCATCCTGAATTATATGTTACCTTACGCTATTAAGCAGTAAAAAAAGCTGCTGCGTTAACGATAATCGGGACGATATAAAAAAGATAGAATGTCGAAAGTTTCTCGTTGCTGTCGATGCCCGTGAGTTGAACTTTCCGGTGCAAAAGTTGGACGATCGAGCTACCGTGAAATGATCTCATCCAACGACTCCGGTGGTTCGTAAATTCTAATCTGGAAGAGGGAAAACGCGAAACCGTCGAGGAAATAATTTCGGGGTTCGCGAGGTTCGAGGAGAACCGTTATGCAACCGGTCGCGGGCCAGGCTGTTTGATGTTTTAGCGCTCGCCAACGTTTATGACTTGGTTGCAGCTTATTTGACCGTTTCGTCGACTCCGATTCATTTCGCTCGCCAAACTCGAAACACACTCCAAGACGAAACAGCCTTTAGTTAGACAACTAAAAATAACCCCCCACTCGAACGCCGCATTTTTTTTATCGCGGTAGCTCCGTTATGCAAGCCAATTCGCCCGCGAACTTTCAAATCTAGACGGAGATCGATTATAACGCTCGATCGACGGAGCTACAGACAGATTTCAAGCATTAGCGATGAATCGAGAAAATTTCTATCAACACTGGGAACTACCAAACCAGTCAAAATGACCCATTCATAATTTCTAAAATTTTACTCGACTGAATTTTTGAAAATTTATTTCCATTGCATTATATATTACTTCGCGTATCTATCGTTTCAGTTTCTTTTCAAATAAACATACTATAATTGTCGGTAGTTTTAGTGTTAGATTTACGTAATCTTCTAGTAAAAAAAATTGATAACATCCTAAGAAGAAGTCGTGTTTCTTATCTGGTATGACGGTTCGAAAGGCATGGTTCTTCGAGCTTTTGAAGCCTCGAACGAAAAGAAACGTGCTCCCTCGCATCTTCGAGATCCTCGTACGTGATTTCCACACGACCACGCGAGCATTTGGGGCCCCGCTGGTCAATTTGCGACAATTACTGAGCCGCTGCGACTGGTTAAAGTCGGTTAGACCCCGGGTCGTGCCGAGCTGTGTAGCATAAGCTAGTAGCGGGCATAACGAGCAGCAGGTTCTCCGCAAACAGAACAACAATTACTTCGGTACGTTCATTCTTTTAAAAGTTCTCCAACGGTTCCTGGTTTCGTTCCATATCCACGAAAACTCGAACGAAAACTACTCCACTTGCTACTCAAAGATATACATAACTATACCATGTTGTTACGCATTTAAATAATTATGATGAACACATGGAGATGTCTGCTTAGAGTAACAAAGGGTTAAAAAGCCCATACCGTTTGATCAACAAGAAGAATCAACCAGCTAAACGCTAAGAAACGTTAAACCGCGTGTACTTTATCGTCGGGCATATTTATTTTCCATGACGCGTACTCTCGCTAGAATAATTATCTTGTTAAGAAGTCAGGCCCGTTTTCCCCGCGTTCGTGAAAATACTTCGTTCATCCTTTTCCCCCCCCCCGCGAGATTAAACGTTGCGTCGTTTCTCGTCGATCCGGACCGAGCGCGAACGTAATGGGAACAGCCTTCACCTTTGCGATAACCTATCTCGAACCATGCGTAGAGAAAGCCGCTGTGCGTGCGGCCATTATTTTTCGCTTTTCTCTCGAAATTATTTGCTGCATCAGCCGAATATTTCCGTCTAGAAAACCCATTTATTCGTAACAATAATACTCAAGAAGATGGACTGATTCGAACAACGAGTGCTCTGCACGATCTCATATGTGGGTGATGGAACTTTTAACACGTTCACTGTCAAATGAAAACTGTACAATATTCTGCAAGATTAAAATTTGTTTCCATAACCTTGGTAAAATTCACAAATTCCATTCAAATTTATCTCCCTCGATGTCTTAACTTAAAAATTAAATTTTCTGGTATCATAGTGGTAAATCCTGTCACCCATATATGGCTGACGTGGCAGTCAATTAATTCTCAAGTCGAAATGTTAAAGAAAATAAATTTTAATAACGTTACGAAAGTAACTACTAGGACAACGTTCAAGTTGAGTAGTTTGCGCTTGACTGAAATCGAAGTTTCGGTCTTGCAAACAATTTTAGGATTTTGGAGTGGCAGTCAACTTTTTACTATTATTGAGATCGTTGGAGCAATTTTACGAGGCACCACGTGTACGTAGTAGTTACCTGTACGTGTATCGCGAGTACCGTGTTCTTGCCGATCGACTGAGCGTGTAATTGTTACGTAAGAGTAACGTCGCGGGCGGTTCATGTGGTTCGGTGTCTCGTACGAGGGTCAGGACCCGAACGAACAGAATGCACGGGGGGAACGCAATCAGTGCGCCCGTTACAATCACTCAACTAGGCCATGGAACATCTTCGCTCTATCCGACCCGAGTCTCGATCGAACATCAAGAACAACCGAATCGAATCCTTCTCTACGCTTCACTTATTCCTCCTCGTGTTTGCCACACTGTTCGCGATCCTAGCTCCTTTCGATCAGCTAAATCGCCGAAGAAGGGACGGATAGAAATTTTAGTGGGAGGTTAGCGGTCCTTTTAGGAAGACTTTACGTTATATCGGTAGTTCTGTGTTTTCTCTAAGGGTTAGAAACATCAAGAACAACCGAATCGAATCCTTTTCTACGCTCCACTTATACCTCCTCGTGTTTGCCACACTGTTCGCGATCCTAGCTCCTTTCGATCAGCTAAATCGCCGAAGGAGGGACGGATAGAAATTGTAGTGGGAGGTTAGCGTATAGGGAGGCTTTACATTATACCGATAGTCCTGTGTGTTTTGTTTTCTCTAAGGGTTGGAAACATCAAGAACAACCGAATCGAATCCCTTTCTACGCTCCACTTATTCCTCCTCGTGTTTGCAACACTGTTCGCGATCCTAGCTCCTTTCGATCAGCTAAATCGCCGAAGGAGGGACGGATAGAAATTTTAGTGGGAGGTTAGCGTATAAGGAGACTGTACATTACACCGGTAGTCCTGTGTTTTGCATTCTCCAAGGGTTGGAAGGGTATTTTCTATTCTGGTAAAAGTCTCTAGCCCTAACTAGCCTCGCTGAAGCTCTCAGGGGGCGGGTGTGAAAGATTGGTTTGCATCAGGTAGGGTTTTTGGTTGCAGCGGCGTAGAGCACGAAGATGAGGTGTACAGCGTGCGTCAGCTGGCAGCTCGTGACACCGAGCGTAACGTCGTGAAGTCGGAGAAGCCGGTGGACGCGAAGAGCATCAGCAGGAATACCGGTCAACCGTCCAAGCTCCAGCTACGCGTGCAGGTCAGGAGCAAGAAGCTGGTAGAGGTCGGGTTGGATTCCAGCGAGAACGAGTACTCGTCGTCCAGCAACGCGGTAGAGGAGAAATCGAGTTCGACGTTCGATCGTGCGAAACCATTGACCGTGACCACCTCGACGTTTCGCGCGACGGGCCAGAAGGCCGAAAAGGAGTCGGTTCGGGTTCAGGACGGCTCGCGGAAGGATAACACCTTCCCGAGACCGGTCCACGATACAGAGAAATTCTTTGTCGGTGTTGAGGGTGCCGAGGACTCGGTCCAGGAGTCGGTCAAAGAGAACGAGGAACCGAAACGGAAGCAGCAGAACCGTAATCGAGCTGCTTGCCGTGCCCCGTTCATCTTCCAGGTACGTTGGACGAGCCCTTGGCTGCAACGCAGAACCCGACACGTCAACGATGCATCGTCTTTTCAGGGCAAACCCGCGTTGGAATACGATCCGAAGGCCACGGTTCGACGCAACCGGCCGCAGGCGGTTACCAGACACCTGTTTGCACCGATCTCCGACAAGCAACAGCAACAGCCACCGCAACAGCAACAGCAACAGCAACAGGAACAGATTACCGCTGCTTGCAGACCACCGCCACATACCACAACAGCGAGCACCTTCGCGCCTCGTACCGAGGACATGAACAAGGGCTTCTTGACTTTCAGCGAGGATCATCCAGGCCTTACAAGTCGGTATTCCATTCCTCCGTTTCGCATATCGTTACAGGGTGTTTTAGTAATCGCGCGAGTACATGTTTTAATAATAATAAGGGTGAAGGGGGTTCGTGCCTCGTACCGAGGACATGAACAAGGACTTCTTGACTTTCAGCGAGGATCATTCAGGCCTTGCAAGTCGGTATTTTATTCCGCTGTTTCGGTAATCGCGCGAGTACATGTTTTAACAATAATAACGGTGAATAAGGGGGAGCATCGCTCGTAGCAGACACGATGAAATCGTTCTGTGGGATTCGCGGCGGTAATAAATCTTGGCGTGGCTGCCGCGACTCGTACGAGCAAGACTGACGCGCGTTATTTATCGCCCCGGAAGCAAAAACCGGTCTACGGGCACTCGATCGAATTTCCTAACGATGCGTGTTACAGTGCTGAAGGACGAGCCGGAGGACTTGACGCATCTGGCGCCTACGCCCGGCGACGTCTGCGTCCCCCTCGAAGACACGCCATTCCTCACCGATATGCTCGACGAGTTCATCCTCAGCAACGACAACTATTGCCCGTTGCTGAGTCCCGGGGGCGCCCTGGCGCCCGAATTACGCTCCTCGGATTTCGGTGATCCCCTGAAGGACACCGATCTCGGCGACAGCTCGAGGGACAAGAGCCTCGGGGAATCACTGCCCGACAGCGATCCGTTCATATACGGTGACTCGCCGGAGAGTCCTTGCAGCATCGATCCAACCTCTGTCTCGCCTTCCTTCGCTAAATACCGTCAAGTATGTCGGGCAAGCCTCGAAACTATGCCGCCGTTCGACGCTCTGCCAACCTTTTGTAAAATGCAACGGAAATATGTTGCGTTAATCGGTTGGCAATGCGTCGAACCGCTTGAATCTCTGATCTCACGGTAAAAAGAATGTGTATGTATATATTTCACGGTTACAGAGCCCAGAACGAAGCGTAGATTCGCTGGGTAGCCCAACGGGTGGCAGCGGCACCGAGGGGCTGTCGGAGGACGAGATGTTGATGTTGGGTCTTAGCGACAGCATCGCCGACGACGAGCTGGCGCTGAGAGCACCGTATATACCGATGTCGGACCAGGACGAGGCTCTAGGTTTACTGATCAGCAACGACATGGTGATGTGGAGTCCGCCACAGACCACGGACAAAACTTGTTCCAAATGGTACGTGTATCGAACAAGCTTCATCGACTGCTCGTCGAACATTCGCGGGAACCTTTGTCTCCTACTTTACTGTCCTTTGCAGGATGCTGGAGGAGAAGGAACACCGACAGTCCGACTCGAACACGGCGCAGCTCTTGAAGACAGACCATCAGGTACTCTCCAGAAAGTACAACGACCATGGAGGCGGTCTGGTAAATCCGGTTCAAGTTCTCGGTCAAATTCCTAGGAAAAGTAAGTCCGAATAGATAGTAGCAGTTTTGTTTTTAACGAGGGCCACGAAATAGCGCGATGTCGTCGATATGAAAATAGGTGAAAACGTTATCGTTCTCTCCAGGTGCCAGCCTAGACACCGGTCACTGGTCCTCCAAGTTGGACAGTCCCACCAAGCGTATACACGCTGCCTCGATAGACACAGTGCGTGAGAATAAACGCATCAAGTGCGACGAGTCGACGAGACACGGTGCGCCGTTGATCCTGGAGGATCATCTGCTGCGCAAACAACAGCTTGCCGCGAGGAAGTCGACGAGCATCGGCGGCAGCCAGTTGCTCCGTCGTCTGGTGTCCGAGCAAACGGTTCAACGGGCCAACGGTTATCCCAGCGAGTCGTTGGACAGTCCCATGGAGAACCGTGGACGGAGCAATAACAACAGGTTGCCCAGCGAGCTGGACGCCGTGGACGAGGGGGAATGGGACAGCGGCGGAGGCGGCGGCGGTGGAAACGAGGGCGGCAGACCCGACGACGGCCATCGTCGCCAGACCCACGACGCCCCGCGAAACTCTCTGCGTCAGACCACGGCGACGGGCTGCAACAGCGTGCTAATGAATCTCCTGGTGTCCGGCTGCGACGTGAGTGCGGGATACGTTTGCTTCGCGAAACCAAAGCCCTCCAGGAGTATCGCGAGCACGTGAACGAACGTGGCTGTTTCGCTTTCGCGTTTACTCCATTCTCTTCTACTGTCCAGACACGCGTTATCGTCGGTTTGGCTCTCGATGGTCGATACCCCTCGATCCTCCAAAATCGGAATCGAAATTTATTGTAAATCTTTGATGTTTTAATTAATTGTATAATAGTACAAGAGTCGTCGAATAGCGTTGGACGGTTGCAGGTGACTTATCCGTCGCGAGAGAACGACGGATTTTCGAGAGGTCACTCGATCTGGAGGAGACGATAGATCACGAACGTTTTAGGAGTACGAATTGCGAAAATACCGGGTAGTACGAAGTACGATCGCCGATAGAAATTCGATACGGATGGAACGATCAGAGTATCCAGAGATCGCGGGGAGTCTGTTTGTGCCCGATTAAACGGGGATACAGAGAACACGAGCGTTGCGATAAGCGAGATCGTAGTTCGACTGTGTTGCTCTTTAAAGTCACGTTATGTATTCTACTTGAAAAGTATATGGAATTGTTGACCCGAAGATTGTCAGAAAAGAAATACATTGAACATTGAACATCGAATCATCTGAACTGCTGCGTTTCGTTTCCTCCTTTCTCATCCTTCCTGCTCCGACGAATTGCATTCCGTCGAGTCTCATCGAGATTAAGAAATCCGGCTCAATGCGTTCGATCGTTTCGATAATTCTTTTAGCTCGCAATCTACAACTTGGTACCATTGGATGATGCGATTAGCCACTAATCGGTGCTTTATCGGTGGCTAAATAGAATACCGCGACTAATAAAGAGAACGATCGTCTAGTATTTTATATTTCTCGTTTATGGCCCGATTACGCCACGTTGTAAAGATATCCTATCGAATCGACATTTTTCTACCCGTGAATAATACAATAATAAAAATCCGAAGTTTATTGCATTATTTTCGCACTAGAATCGAACGTGTTGTGTGTCGTTTCCTCGGGATTAGTTACGATCTCCGCGTTACATTCTATTTTGCTGTATTGGAAAATATCGTTGACGATTCTCTAATGAAATAAATCCAATCAACTGACCGGTATTGCGATCGATTCTCTCTGAAACGGGCAAACGTACTCTGTGCGAAGACAGGAAACGGAAAAATGAACGGTAGCAGCTTCTAACTAACATTATTTGCATTTGCAAATGCCTCCCATCTTCCTGATCTTTCACACGAAACGCAGCAGCATCTTGGCGGAAAGTATAACGCGCTAGTTGCAAATATAGAACGATCAAACAAAAATTCCCAACTTGGACGATTAAAAAAAGCCTGGGGGGCTTAGGGGGTCGAGGGAAATATTTTTCATATTCGTACGTTATTAATTCTTTTACTGCAACACAAATTTAAACAAAAAAACGTATACATATGTATAGATATATTTCCTAGTCAAAGCCATTTCATTCGATTCTATTAGGTCGAGTCATAAGTAACTTTCGTGGAAGCTAAGTAGAATCTATTGTTCGTATCTACTCGCTATGAGTTACTATGACAAGTTTTTGTTTTTACTATAACAGGGTGTTCGGCCACCCCAGAGAAAAATTTTAATGGGGGATTCCCGAGGCCAAAATAAGACGAAAATCAAGAATACCAATTTGTTGATGGAAGCTTCGATAAAAAGTTATTAACGTTTGAAGTTCTAACCGTAATGAATTTTTTTCTCGAAAATGCGCAAGATTTCGGGGGTAAGTCTATTCACCAAAAATGATTGTAATTGACCCCCGCATCCGAAAATAATTTTTCCAGAACGATTTGAAACTTTTTTTTTCATCGAAAAGTTTCATACCTTCTCGAATTTTGTTCTCAAAAGTGAGTAGGATTTCGGGGGTATATCTATTGACCAAAAATGATTGTAATCGACCCTTGTAATTGAAAATAATTTTTTTAGAACGATTTGAAACTTTATAATTTTGTCGAAAAACGTCACACCTTCTCGAATTTTTTTCTCGAAAGTGGTTAGAATTTCGGGGATATGTTTAACGACCAAAAATGTTTGTAATCGACCCTTGTAATTGAAAATAATTTTTTTAGAACGATTTGAAATTGTTGTATTTCGTCGAAAAATTTCGCACTTTCTCGAATTTTTTTCTCGAAAACGCGTAGGATTTCAGGGGTATGTGTAATGACAAAAAATGATTGTAATTGACCCCCCAAGCCGAAAATAATTTTTCCAGGACGATTTGAAATTTTTGAATTTAATTGTTAATAACTTTTTAACGAAGCCTCCGTCGACAAATTGGTATCCTTGACTTTCGTCTTATTTTGACCTCTAGAATGCCCCATTAAAATTTTTCCTAGATTCTACTTTCGACTGTCTATTCTAAGGTTTTCGCTAGGACTTGGTTAACCCTACAGCCCAGAGCCTATACGACCAATTGTTTTCGTTAATTTCATGACTATCGTGATTGTGTTATTCAGGAAAACTTGATCAACTCCCGCATCGTGCCAACGGCGCGTCCAACAAGCTTGACATCGGCGCTGTCCGTGAACCTAGACAACCAAACGGTGCCTCAGTGTGCCCTAACAGGGGAATCCAATATGGCGTACGATCAATTTGGCGCGGACGCAAGGAAAAACCTGTTGCCCGACACGTTCATCGGCGAAAGAGGATCTTCCCTCGCCGTCTCGCCGTCCTCTACGATGATATCTTTCGACAACTTCGACTACGATCCGACAATGTCGACCAGCGGTTTGCTGCAAGTGCAACCGGATCTGTTTGGAAGTCTGCTGGATCGGAATATTGTATAAATGTCAAGTATAAATGTTTTATTGCCAAGTAAGCCCACCGATTCGTCGCCGATCGATGAGTACCAGAGATAATCGATACGCGTTAATATCGAGCGCGGGATATTCACATCGGTATAGTTTGTGGCCAGTTAACCCTTTTGGTGCTGCGATTTAAAGAGAGTACGCTGTGAGACCGGTGTGAATCTTCTTAGCATCGAATAGGTTAAACGATAGAGCCGACGCGCGTCGGGACGATTCGACGTTTCTGTACGATTTTCTATGGGTGACGTTCAGAGATATCGATATTTTTTCACCGGTAATCGTGCCGCGTGTCGTTTCGATCCGTGGCTCCAGCGATCGAGATGTTTCTTCGAGCAACCAAGTGCCAATGCATTTTTAGTAAACTAGGTTATGTACCATTCTTCCGCGAGATGAAGGCAGAACGTGTTTGCATCCCCATTCCTCTGTTGCTGTCCCCTGACTCGCTGATATTAGTCGAAAACGATGACGAAGATCGGTGACAGCCAATCAGCGGAGTAGCAGCAATAATGGGGATGTTAAACACGCTGTGCCTTCTTCTCGCGGAAGGACGATAGGTGTTCGTTACGGAGGAACAGTGATGGACATTCGTGGGAATTTTGATCGTGCACACTGGAGTGCATGATCATTGCCATATACACTTAACGAGAATTTAGAGTTGGATCCCAATAAGGAACAAAATTTAAGGAAGTTACAGGGAAAGAAACAAAAGCAAAAAATTTCCTCTTAATCTACATGAGTATAGCTAGAGAAATACGTAGGGGGATCTTCGATGAGTTAATTTTTGTGTGATCGGCGAGCATTTGAAGTAGAAAGTTCAATTTTGTACAAAGCGAGATACATCTATGGTAGCTGTGACGTCAGTTTACGCATGCGCAGAAAGGAATCTCGCGAGGGAAAATTCCAGTACGCATAACCAAAGTTCCCACAATGTCCAACGAACTTCGTTACGGAGGAAGCGTTTTGCCCGTAAAGTCGATCGGTTTACAATTCACGCGAAATAGAATCAAATTTTTGTTACGAATGTTACGTTGCTTTTATGAGAACTGCAAGTAAGTCTACTCGAGAACATCGGTAGTCTTGCAATTAGACCAATGATGCCAGGTTACAAGAACTTTGAATCTCTTCTCCGATTGGGAGTGGAAACAGGGCGGTACGACCATAACAATTCATCCCACATGGCGTCAATGGAGAAATAGATGATCCGGTCTTTATTCGAAACCATAGAGCACGAGTATCCGTTTGTAGACAATCGATAGTTATCGATACGTCGGAACGGTGACGAATAAAATTCTAACGTTTCATTATTGCATTAAACGCGTTATCATTTTCTATGATAATTCGGTTGCGTGGGACGAGTGCATTTAATCGCGCGTGCGCGCGACGTGTGACGTGTTTTCTCATATCGAATTACTTGTATATTTGTCTATGAAATTAGGAAATTTAAACGATAATCGATGTTTTATGGAACGCGGACGCGAATTAGAAATTGTTAACAGGGGGAATAGAATTGCTATGAAACACGTGTTGTTACTGGCAGATGAGCCGTATTAGCGACGGGCCGTATACGATGGGGAATCGGTCGATCGCGGTACTCGTCGTCGTTGTTACTGTTTTTTAATAGTTTTTATCAAAGCCAATCCGATTATCAGTTGTTATTATCATACATATATAATGCATCACGATTATCGTTCTTTGTAGGCGTACAAAGAACACGGTGAGTATGCTGATATGTATTTTTCTTCGTACAGTAAATGTATAACGGCATACTAATTTTATTATTTTTACTGTCATCTGTATTTTTATTCTCGTAATACCATGTTTATTAACTATTAATCTTTACCTGTATTGCCATGCTGGTATGGATCAATATTATTACGAGAGTATGAGTTACGATAAACAAATAAATGGTCTTTCTAATAAATACCTTTCTTCTATTCTACACATCGTGTCTATTGTGTTATTGGTATTTTTATTTTACCCAAGAGTAATTATTGAAAACAGAAGCAACTCTTTCTTTATTATTTCTACGTATGAGTGTACATATGTATATTATTTCAGATGTCTCTGCTGGCCCCTGCTGACCACTGCTGATCTTTATTGACAACATCTGACATGATGTATATCTATTAAAACTTTGTATAATGTCAATCTATGGCAATAAATGATATAATTTCAAAGAATTCTACGTGTTCTCATCATTTTTATCTTTCTCTTCCTCTCCAAAGCATCGCCGTAGTTAAGAAACCGTTTTTCCACTTAAAACTGGAATCCCAAAGTGTCCCGAACATTTCCGAACTGCTGGTGACCTCGACATACTTTAAAAATTGGTTCAAGACCATCCGAATTTCCGCATTTTTCTGGCACCAAAACGCCCAAGTTTGTCGTCGAATAGTTCGTCTTTTCAACGCTAGATGGCGCTCCTCTCCGACCTCAGGCCCCCTGGTGTTAAAACGTCCAAGTTTGTCGTCGAATAGTTCGTCTTTTCAACGCTAGATGGCGCTCATTTTCCGACCTCTGGCCCCCTGGTGTTAAAACGCCCAAGTTTGTCGTCGAATAATTCGTCTTTTCAACGCTAGATGGCGCTCGTTTTCCGACCTCTGGCCCCCTGGTGTTAAAACGCCCAAGTTTGTCGTCGAATAGTTCGCCCTTTCAACGCTAGATGGCGCTCATTTTCCGACCTCTGGCCCCCTGGTGTTAAAACGCCCAAGTTTGTCGTCGAATAATTCGTCTTTTCAACGCTAGATGGCGCTCGTTTTCCGACCTCTGGCCCCCTGGTGTTAAAACGCCCAAGTTTGTCGTCGAATAGTTCGCCCTTTCAACGCTAGATGGCGCTCATTTTCCGACCTCTGGCCCCCTGGTGTTAAAACGCCCAAGTTTGTCGACGAATAGTTCGTCTTTTCACCGCTAGATGGCGCTCATTTCCCGACCTCTGGCCCCCTGGTGTTAAAACGCCCAAGTTTGTCGTCGAATAGTTCGTCTTTTCACCGCTAGATGGCGCTCGTTCCCGACCTCTGGCCCCCTGGTGTTAGAACGCCCAAGTTTGTCGTCGAATAGTTCGTCTTTTCAACGCTAGATGACGCTTATTTCTCGACAAACTTGGGCGTTTTAACACCAGGGGGCCAGAGGTCGGTAAATGAGCGCCATCTAGCGTTGAAAAGACGAACTATTCGACGACAAACTTGGGCGTTTTATGGTAGATGGCGTCTTCAAATATATAGATATACACTGTATTACAGAGCTTCAATGGGCGCCTACATGGGTGCGAAAGTAAAAATGCCTGGGCAGTCGAGATTCCAAGTCGTATGCCGTTGACGAGAGATCGAATTTCACTTGTTCAAGAGCAAGAAGGCAAACGTGAGCCTCTCTCTCTCGACTCCCACGAGAGATGTGTCAGTTTACCTTTGCCGACTCTCCGAACTCTATGCGATTACTTACGCGTGATCTGCCATGACTTAGAAAGTAGAATGAGGTGTCCCTGGTGCACCCGGGGCTCCGTCTGCATCTCCGAATGGACCTCGAGGCCTCGAGGCTCGAGTGTCGTAATGTAAGCACTTCACGTCGAAGAAATCATACAACCTGTCTACAATGACAGATCGAACACGATTGACGATCATCGATCGTTAATTACACGATACATGGGCCTGGTAAATGCCGTTTATAACTGGGGCTCTGTAAAAGCATTGTACTTCGCTGTTTTCTCGATGAACCTGGCAGGCATCGTCGCCCTCGGACTTACCATCGTCTGGGCGGTAAGGTTCGAAAAAGGCTTTGGTGGTTATCTGAACCTCGTCACTTCAGGTTAGTTTAAAAACACACGTGCCAACATTCGGGGAACGAGACTTATAGGTTACAATTTACTTTCTCAAATAAATCAACTGCCCAACGCGGGGGAGAATGAATTTTTTTATTATCACAGATATCGTACACGAAGCCTTTTACAAACGATACTATTCTCTATTACTTAAAATGACCAAGACACATACAGGGTGTTCGACCCACCCCCGAATACCCTGTGTATGTGTACGTCGAGAGGATGTTGCTTAAATTTCGCGTGTATACGTGATACGTATCGTTGTCGATTGTATGTACGGGTTAACGAGCAGATCACGACGATCAGGTGACGGTCACGTCTGGACCACGGTGATCATCTGCGCTGCCGTTCTCTGCTCCCCTGCCTATATCCTGGCCGTCAAGTGTTTGCCCCGCTTGAAAATGGAACCAGATCGAGAGAAACCGGACGAGGACAGCGTGGATCCTCGTGGCGCGAATCGTCTCCTTTTCTTCCACGTGATTGCCTGTCTGGTGTCCGGATTCCTAGTGGCGATCTTAAACGCTACCTATTTCGCTCTGTTGAGCGGTTTCCATCAGAAGAGCCGCGACGGTATGATCGAGGCGATGGAGAGGTACGGCAGAGACGTCGCGGCCAAGACGCGAGTGGATGCTGTTCAAACAGAGTTCGAGTGCTGCGGGGACAATGGTTACGAGGACTGGTTTCACGTACCGTGGCTGAAACTCTCGATAGAAGGGCCCGATTACACGGAAAAGGGTCCTCGACTGGAAGGGCAGTGGGTATAATCGAACCAAGTGCCGTTTAATCGTAAATTTCTTCTTACGATTTACCTTTTCCTCCGTGACTCTATGCCTTTGTCCAGTATCATTTATTGACAACGATAACAATTGCGTGTCTCGTATCTCATTCCTCGATTATACGTTAAAGAGAAATACCGGAGGACCAAGAGGAAGAATCACCGACTCCTGCAGACGTGCCATTTTCCTGTTGCTCCAACGACGTTCCGAAACCTTGCGTTCACCACGATATTTTAAACCACAATGCCGCGTATAATTACAATCCTAGCCACTTGACCATCGCTACCGTTGGTTGTCGATCGAGAATCCTGAGTCGAGGAAAGATCGTTCGAATATTCATCGCGGGATATCTGACTCTTTTATCCGTCTATCAGGTAAGCATCGAGATTAACGCGTCGTGAACAGGGCTGGAAAACTGTTGTTTCTATGGATGTATGGCGTTGCTTTCTGAGCATGTTAAAGGATTGATCGCGAGCTCTGGTGGCGAGCGCGGGAAGCGACGCCACATATGCACAATACTGAAAGATTCACTTTCCAAGCCCTGCTCGTAAAATGCAAGAATCGTGTTCATAAGGGATTCTTGGCTCTCTCTATTTTCAGATAGTTCTGTCCCTCCTGTCTCGTTTGCTGCAAACTGCCCATAGCAACGCATTGTACATAGGGCCTCGAAACGCTCATTATCACGTTTGGATATTCTTTAAACCGGACGGTATCGTAACTAACGAACCTCCAACACGACCGAAAGAATCCGAGCGACTGCTGCGACTGCGTAAACGACGATCGACTAAAAATTCACGCCCATCGTCTTCTCTATCGACTTCCGAGACCACCGACGAGGAAGCAGAAGAAGAAGAAGAAACAGATGCTTCGATTAAACGTCGTCGAACATCGAAGAGCCTCGACAGAGGTTCGCGGCTGCGCACAAACAAGTTTCCAGGTTCGAAGCAGAACACGTATCGATTGGAAGACGAGTACGAAGCGGAACAGAATGCGACGAGGTCCACGACGATCGTTCTAAAGCCAGATGGCGATTCGAATCCTCTTCTGTCGGATAATTCTTCGATCGAGGACTTACCACCCCCGCCACCTCCTCCACCGTTTCTAGCGACCTTGGACGTGGAAGACGAGGGGCTGAGAAGAAAGGCTACCGCGGGCAACGACGATTTCAATGAGAGAATAATCGCGAACCGGAACTCTGGCAGGCGTATAAAGGTGTTCGAGAAGTTTGGAAAGATCTGGGAGCACAGGGATCATCGCGTGACGCAACACAGAGAGTGTGGAGGCGCTGACGATGACTCGAGCAACGAGCGTGCATCGAATCGTTCGAGAAGACGATCGATAAACGCGACGGACGTCTACGATAGATTTCGCGGCACTCTTCAACACACTCTCGCCAGAAGAGAAACCGTCCAAGCTCGAAAGACGACCAACAGAATCCACAACATGAGAATCTTCTCAAATATGGCGGCGGTGAAACGAAACAACGTTCTAACCAGACTGGGATGCAGGAACGTTCCACCTTCTTACCGTTTGCTAGCCAACGTCGAGGATCAGAGATCGTACAGAGAGGATCGACCATCATGGCCGCCCCCGCCTCCACCGAATCCGTCAGCGTCTTTTCGACGACAAAGGCAATGCAGTATCTGTCGTGGTCCTGTTTAGAAAAATTTAGCAATTTAGTTTCTATCTTGGAATCGATCTAGTCGATTATATTCTGTAAAATCTACTCGAATAAATGTAAAAATGTAAATATACAATTTGCCTCGTAGAGTGATAAGTAGACTGCGGATGTATATGCATTTATGGGGAATTTTAATTCTCAAGAAACTACAGAATGCACTTAACACTTTACCGACCGATACCGATTGACCCTAGATTATATATATCTACTTTTTCTTGTACTTATAGGAATGTTAAATGAAACTTTGCGACAGTGGTTATTATATTGTTCTCTTTCTGTTGTTATAGGGTAGTTAAATCTAGTGATATTTTTTATTTTCATGGCAACCGATTAATAAGCTACCGGTCGGTGAAGTGTTAATATGCAAAAATATAAGAAATATTTAAAGTAAAATACGAATTATTATATTCAAGGGTTGAGACAATCATCTACAAAACACCCGTTTCATCGATTCTATTAATAAAAATCTGAATTTGTATAAAGATCCGCAGTCCAGTGATAAGTTTTCTCAAAGTCCACGCTACGATATGGTCTTGGAATATTTGGAATAATTTGGAGCCAAACGCAGATTGTACAATACTTGATGGTTTATTTGCCGAGAAGTAAAATACACAGGCATTTGTTACAATGGTACTGCCGAAGAATATTTCTTATGTCTTTGTAATAACATCTAGCGACAATACATCGATACTAAAAAGAGAGAAGCTGATATATTTTGTTCGATCAAATTCTTTTTTTTTACCCCGGATTTTTACCAAATGCTTAACGATTATTCGCATACCAATTCTTTATTCTCTCTCTTTCTTTCTCTATTTATATAATCTCTTGCGTCCTCCGTTTCTATACCGTGGATTTATTTTTACAAATATCCGCGACATCTCGTCTCCCGTTTCCGCCTCGAGTAACTAGAAGGCGACCAGGCGGAATTCTACCAGGCTGCGCGCGCCGCGCGGCGAACGAATCGCCGCGCGACGACCTCCGGGGCCCCTCGTCACGTTTGCACCTTGCACATTTTGCACGGTGGTCCCAATTGCGTTGGATCTTCGCGATCGTAATTCTATTTATCGCGAACATCGAACAACGGTACGCGTGGATCCTCGGTGACGCCTCGCGGCGTGTATTTTGCATTTGGCTCGAGAGAAATTGCACCCGATCGAATCGACCTTCGACATAGAGGGGGGAGGTAACCGAGACCATCGAATATCGTAAAACGCGTCAACGGGAATTTCCAACGATCGCGACGTAGTGCAATTTGTCTCGAGCCCCCCTCCCCCCCCGAGCAATTTGTTTCCCCTTAATTTGGCCGTGTCCGCCTCACGGACAGATCGCTCGGTAAATTACTCCGATCTAATAAACACTTATCGTTCACTCGTTCGCTAATTCACACACACTGTGGACCTTTTCCTTTTCTCCGTAGCTACGTTTTCTATCGACTCGAAATGTCTCTACGCGTCTACCTAATTACTTTGAATCTGCGTATCTATACAATTCGTGAATATGTATTTAAAATTACGCGTACCACATAGACCCGGTACAGGGCCCGATATGAGTTACCCGTTTAAGATACAAGGGATACCTATCTAAAATAAGTACATAATATATATATACAGAACGTTTCGGTAGAAACAAGCCCCGATGATATTTTCGTTATCGCAAGCAACAGGAAACAGCGTGTAGCTTACAAACTGGCTTCGTTGGTGGACAAACGATCGTTCCTTTTTAAACAAAGCTTCTCTCAACTAACAAACAAATTATCCAAGGGAATGTTGCAGCTACATTGTGTCTCGAAATCAAAACTTTACTACAAGAAGAAAACATCTTCCTGCTATTTAATACTAGAACTACCAAATTCGTAATTTCTAATAAAACCTGTAAAAAATTTACTGAATTTTCGAAAATTTATCGTAATTTTCTATAAGAGAACAAACACTTATTTCCATTGCATTATACATTTCTTCGCGCACCTATCGTTTCAATTTCCTTGCTACAAATAAACAGACTATAATTGCCGGTAATTCTAGTGTCAAATCAGCCAAAGTAACAGACTTGCTTCTAACGATACATCCTGTACATAAGTATAATCCTCGAGAAGGCGGTGATAAATAGTAACGACGAAGTAACAATACAATATTGCTCGATCCCGTATTATATAATGTATAATATATATAATATTTATAATAATAATAATAATAATAATATAACGATATTATCCAATCGCGAGTAAAGTAGCATTACCTCGTATCGGATTCTTTCTCTCTTCTCTTTTTGTCTAAAGAGCTATTTAAGAATCTCGCCGCGCTCGTTCCATACATATATGCACGTGTATTTATGTATGTATGTATTGTATGTATGTATATCTTTATTCATCGAAGTAAATAATTACGATAGGCCTAACGGTTTCGAGTCTCACTTGCTCTACCACTCTCTCTCTCTCTCTCTCTCTCTCTCTCTTATTCTCACAATCACTCTTTTCGCAAAAATTCTCTCTTTCACGCTCCTCTTAATACGTTCGTCCGGCGAAGCGTTCAAGGGTTACAAAGCCACTTTCTCTCAATTCCATACGTTCATCGTTATCTCGAGTAAAAAGTAAATCGAACAAGCGAAAATCGAAAGGTGCAAATTGCTCAATTCTTTCTTTTCTCTTTTTTTTTTTGTGCTCGACTCTACGACACAACAGAGTTTCCACGAATAATCGGGTGATTTGTTGGCTCCGTTGCAAACAGATTTAACGCCATATTCTTCATCTCTGAAAGGAAACCCTCGACTTGGAACGGCCGGGAGAAGCAAACAGACGCATTTTGCTACCATTTTTGATATCACAATCGCGTAAATTTTTTCATTTCTTGTAACACGAAGGCCTCTTAATATCCGTAACGTTCGCTAAAAACATCCGTTAATTTGCAACAAGATTTAATAGAACACCCTGCCACACGTATATAGTATATCGAAATCATGCTTATCAATAATATAAATACAGTACCTGCGTGACCGTTCTTTGTTTACATAAAAAAAATCAGCGCTTTAGAATTTCTCTCTCTCTCTCTCTCTCTCTCACGTTCTTTCTTTTCATCTTTACGGACTAATTTTGATGCTACTTGGGACGAGGGATCAACGTCAGCGCTGACAGCATCTCTGCTTTCTATGCACTCTCTTAAAGCTACAGAGGTAAGTGTAAAGATACGAATACTGTTAAGGCTGACAGCTGTTTCGAGAAACATCCCTTGTCTGCGGTGTTACGTCCGGTCTACGTTATCCGCGTCGTTTCCCCCTTAATTAAACGTTATAGTCCAAGTGTAAGGAAGTCTAAACGAAAAACGATCGAACCGTAACGATAATTAATCCTTTAGGCGCGAGAATGGAAAATATTGTAACGAGGGGGGCACGAAGCGGATACTCGTGGACCACGAAACGGAAATGAAAATCACTCGGTGTCGTGAACGGCACACGGGGCACACGGCACACATCACACGGCATTCGATTGATTCCCGTTCGTTCAATACAAAGTAGAGGTACTTCGATTCGTGTAAATACAATAATGTACAATCTTTGTTTACTCTTTATCATCATCGTCTTGTGTCGTTCGTTATTTTTTTTTCTTCTTTATTTATTTGGAGTTAAACCTTACTGTGACCTCGGCGCGTTCAGTGCCGAATTAATAAACGGAATCGATCTACGCTCTACGGTGAGTCGAGAGACAAAACGATGAACGAAAAATTCATTATCTACACATTTATAACACACCTTTACTCGCGGCGGCGTTTTTTTCGTTGATTCGGTTATCGAATATCCTCTTCTCCATTTATACTATCCATTCTCATTACCCGTTCCCCGTCCCGAAATTCGCTCAACCTTTGCAAGAGCTACTCTTACACGCTCCCCGTTTCTTCTCTACCTTCCTCTCGTGTTTCCTCCTGTGACACCTCTTCCGGTCCCGAGGGAAGCGACTTGCTCTCGCTCTTGTTGCACGCCGACCAAGGCAAACGACCACTCGATCTAAGATCTCCTAACTTTCGTCTCGATACACGTTCTCGAACGTACAGTCGTCGGTAATGATACAATAAACTCATCTCGCGTTATTAAGTTTCAGCGATTCAACTATTTAGTGCATTTATTTACACTTTTTCCGGGCGGGGGAAACTATCAACGCGATTCCTGTAATATTTATTTAACGAATTTGTCAAAAACTATCTTTAAACCAATTTACACATTATTCAACACAATTAAAGCAACTTTTCTGATGTTTTTCGCGGATTAGAGGTCGTCTCTGTGTACCTTGTATCGTGTTAAGTGATGAGAGAAACAACTTTGCTTCTTCCACCATTTAACACGATGCCGAGTACTGAAGGAACCCCCTCTCCCCCGCCCGTTGATGATGCTGTCTCCTCCAAAAATTCTAATGGGAGATTCCAGAGGCCAAAATAAGACGAAAATCAAGAATATCAATTCCTTGACTGAGGCTTCGTTAAAAAGTTATTGAAAAATTAAATAAAAAATTTCAAATCATTCTGGAAAAATTATTTTCGATTGCAGGGGTCGATTACAATTATTTTTAGTCATTACACATATCCCCGAAATCCTACCCACTTTCGAGAAAAAAATTCGAGAAGATGTGACATTTTTCGACAAAATTAAAAAATTTCAAATCCTTCTAAAAAAATTATTTTCGATTGCAGGGGTCGATTACAATTATTTTTAGTCATTACACATATCCCCGAAATTCTAACCACTTTCGAGAAAAAAATTCGAGAAGATGTGACATTTTTCGACAAAACAAAAAAATTTCAAATCGTCCTGAAAAAATTATTTTTGGTTACGGGGGTCAATTACGATCATTTTTGGTCAATAGACATATCCTCGAATTCCTAACCATTTTCGAGAAAAAAATTCCTTACCGAAATGTCTGACCAGGCGTACATCTATTCCCCTTAAATTTTTCAGCGAAAAAAAAAAGATGTCGAATCATTCTGAAAAAATTATTTTCGGGCGTGGGGGGTCGATTAGAATTATTTTCGGTGAATAGACATACCCCCGAAATCCTGCGCATTTTCGAGAAAAAAATTCGAGTAGGTGGATAAATTTTTCGACAAAATTAAAAAATTTCAAATCCTTCTGGAAAAATTATTTTCGTTTGCGTGGATCAATTACAATTATTTTTGGTGAATAGATATACCCCCGAAATCCTACCCATTTTCGAGAAAAAAATTCAGTAAGGGCGGAAGTGTAAACGTTAATAACTTTTTAACAAAGCCTCTATTAACAAATTAGTATTCTTGATTCTCGTCATATTTTGGCCTCTAGAATCTCCCATTAAAATTTTTCCCAGGGTTAGCTGAACACCCTCGTTGAATTCTCTACGATTATTGGTATCTCTTTCACCGACTGTACTATACTTCGAAACTGCATCTTACTACATCCAACTACGGCTACTTTGCGAATTATCGCTCGAGCGTCTGTCTACCTATGTATCGATCTACTATACACGGATACCTTGGTCGTAACATTAATTGCGATAACAAATTACATGGTATGAATTACCTAAATGGAGCCTCGCTGTGCGTATGTATCGTTCACGTGTGCACTTCCACACGCTGTGCAATCTACATTTGTCTGTCTGTCCTCTGTGTCCGTGTGTGTCTGTGTCTGCGTGTGTGTGTGTGTTGTGTATTTTATACATCTTTGTGTGAAACGATGTAAAACAATTTACAGCGTGTGTCGTACTCCCGTACAACCAATATCGGTTGTCCCCCTGTGTGTGGCTTCTGTCGGTGACTGGGTAATCTTTAACCCTTAAACAGGCGCACACTGATTATTCAAAAAACATTTCTCTAAATCGTCTAAGAGATTCTTAACCATTTATATATATATTTTCATCATTTCCATCATCGCGATTTAGAAACCTTTTAGATGTAATTGTCGAGAGTGTAAACGCTATTACGAGAGGAAGAACTTGGATAAACGTGCAGTTAAGACGAAATTCATTATACTTTACATTATTTACTTTCTCTTTGTTACTTTTTTTTTTCCGACATTTCTCGTCTCTTAAAAAACGCTATCTGCTCTCGTTGAATTGACCTGGGCAACATCGCGCCGCATCTGCGTATTTGCAAGTAGAATTCGATAACAAAGTAACTTTTTTTTTTTTCTTTTCGATATTTGCGATATATAATCTAGGACATTTTAGGAAGTAAGAACTTACCCTCTTAAGGGTTAAAGATGATTCGTGAGGAATGTACGAGCAGATTCGATGAAAACAAGCGGCTCGAATGCTGCCGACGAAAGTAAGAAAAAGGGGAACTAAACGTTGCGAGAATCACGTCGAAACGTAGGGTACAACGCGTTTAAGTGGAAAATACTTCGCGTAATTCGTAAACAAAACTGCATAGAAAACGGGGATCATCTGCGATCGAAAATGCGTCTAACCAACAACGATAAACAAACTATCTACGGGTACAACTTAAGGGGGTATTCCGGTCTAGAATTACGAAGAAATCAACTTTCTTCCAGCAAAAAGCTTTAAAAACATGCGCGTAAAGCCATTTACCTCGATTCGTGAAAATAACAAAGTTTTTTTCTTGAAATCTTATTTTTTCTACTGACTACTGGTAGGCCGAATACTCCCTTAAACGGTGGAAAAAAGCATGAGCTAAAAGAATCTAATCTGCTCGTTCGATTATCTACTCGTAACACACGTTCTTTCCGAACGATCTATCGTTACTCGATGTAGAAAGAAACGGTGATAACTAAACAGTGAGCGCACGATCCCAAGAACGAGTAACCGAGAGTAACAGAACGTGTCTGTGGTTGTTGGTACTAGTTTTATTGTTGACACTGGTATTGTTACTGTAGCTGTTGTTATCGATAGTGATAGTGGTGGTGGTGACAGTGGAGATGATAGTATTGGTGCTGTTGGTGGCCGACGGGGTGCAGGTGGTCGAGAGTGGCCTTACTTGAGTAGTTGATGGGCTCGCTCGTTGGCCACCTTTATCCTCGTCTCGTTCGATTCGCCCTGCGTGCCAAAAAAAGAAACAAACGAAAGATCGTAACCCAACACACAGCCGTGTATCAAGATCGCGTCATTGTCGATCTCGTTACTTCAATTAATCTGCGGTCTTCTCGCCCGCGCGCCGTCGTCGTTCCATCCCTTCTACTCTCTGTCTCTCTCTCTCTTTCCTTCGCAAACTCGAGAGGATATTCAAAAAGCAACAACGCAACTCGTACGCAACAATTGCGTTCGCAACCAACGACGACGACGACGACGACCCTGCGGGATTTCATCCGATAAATGAGATTCCAAAGGAATTAAATGTAAACTATACGTATACGTATATACTGTTGTGTCCAAGCCTGGGATATTCCGCGTTTCTCTTCGTTCAAGGTAATCTTATCGTACGCAACGGAAACACAAAACTTGCGATTGTTGTAAAATACAATTTACACAGTTTCTTTCTCGACGATCGATCCCAGACTCTCGACAGCAACAACGTACGTATAGTGGCGGATACGAGAAATATAGCGAGAACTTTAGACACGCTCGTTTCATCCGTCAAGCGATACGAATAGAAATGATGCCCGAAAGAGTACAGGTAACGTTCGTGGCAGGAAATTTAGCACGATTTCGAGAGCATCGTCTATAGTTTTGTCACGAGCTCGCTATGTTCCCTCCGCCAGGTATATACGTGTACGATCAATCGTAAAAGTATCGTAGAAAGTGGCGTCTGTGACGACACCAACGGCGAAGATGATGACGCGCGCTCGCGATTACAGGGGGTACGAACTAAACGACGCGTAGGAAGATAGCTGGTAAAGTTCACGACGCGATTGACCTGCGAGACACGCGTGTAGGAGGTGTATCGATGCGACCCCGGCAAGTAACTCGATGATTTCGTTGTAGCAGAAACAGGTGGATCGAGTTGGAGACACGAGTTGGGTTAACGAGTTGACGATGTCCGACCGACGACGAGAAGGCAGAAGAAAGGGCGTGGTAGGCGTGGTAGGCGTGGAGCGTAATATACATATATAATATACACACTCACACTATATACGTATGCATATATACACGAAACACACGCGCACACGCACACGCTTTCTCTCTCTCTCTCTCTCTCTCTCTCTCTCTCTCTCTCTCTCGCACGCGCGCGCGCGCGCACACACACGCACACCACACACCATATATATATATAGATATACACATATAGTGTGTGCATATATATATACATGTATATTTATATACTTTTTTTTGTTTCTTTCTTTTTTTCTTTTTTTTTAATATTTCTGGGCTCGAAGGATACGGATACATGGGTGGAGAGGCGCATTTTACTTGAGCAGGTCGTGCGCACGCTGATTCGCCACGGCTATCCTTGTTTCGTTCGACTCGCCCTGCGGATTATCATAGTATGGATTTTTTTTGGTCATACGTGGCACAAAATGAGAATCTATCAAATCGAACGTGAAGGCAAGAAACAACAGTGAACGGAGTAGAGAACAAAATAGGAAGGAAGAAAGAGAGAGAAAAAAAAAATTGAAAACAAAGGGCGAACAAAGCGTGTGAGGGGGAGGGTCGCGGCGATCGTCGATGGTACGATCGATGTCGGTGCAATTATTGTTTATTCCGGTTTGCTTTTGCTTCCTCTTTCTTTTCATTTTTCAATTTTCGCTTCTCGACGTGATATATGCAACGTGTACGGCCGAACACAGAAAACAGCCCGTGAACAGCGACGAAAAGAAGAAATGACTGGTGGTGCGATGACGAGAGAGGGAGTAAAAGGACGGCTAGTCGTGCGGTGCACGTGCGTACGCATGCCAAAATGGGAAGCGAAACAATCGTCGATCGATCGTTCTTCGATCCTTCGTCAAAATCAATATCCGTTTCCATATCGATCTTCCTCTTCCTGGCACGTTCCCTCGACGATTGTTTCGTTCTCGAGAATAGAACTTCCGTGCCAATACAACAATTTTATATATACATACGTACACACATATACATATACACGCATATACATGTATATGCATGTACATATGTAAATACATAGATAAGAGATAGAAATAAATACGGAGAACTTTCTATCGAATGCGTTCTCCTCGAAAGAGAATCAATTGTTAGAAGCAGGGACTTCGTAAGCAATTACGCAAGATCGTTAGGTTGAAAGTATCAGAAAATAATAAATAATACCGATGAAATGATCTCTGTTTAGAAAGAATCTTTTTCTGTACAAGTCCCTGCTTAGAAGTCTCTTCGCGAAGGAATCACGCGACCATTACACGCATTTTGCATCGATTTCGATGCAAACCTTGCGAACTGCTAGAGAGACCCTTCGACTCCCTACTACTTGTCTAAAAAACCAGATTCATGGAAATCGATGTGCAATGAACGAAATCTCCACAGTTACACGCAACCTCTCGTAATAATTATCTACCAAATTGCTTCGTTAACAGAAATGAAGTAAAACTTCGTCAAAAGTTCCCGTTCCTTTTTCCCCCGTACTCGGTAACGAGGACAAGAGCAAACTTCGCAGAAAGAAATGTAAAGAAAGGATCCGAGCCGAGCATATTTACCAACCGCTGTGTTTCGCAGATGGAAAACTACTCTTTATTAAACGAAAGCACGGTAAAGTTAAACCTTCCTCTTTGTTTATAGCAGAGAAGGTTTCATGGAACTATGGAGATTTTGCTCGCTGTGTAATGGTATCGCGTGGTTCTATCGCAAGTCCCGAGGTAAAAATCGTGGAGAGGGTTGAGGGGGATACGGGGTCGCTACGAGGAAAAAACACGGTACGTATTCGTTCGATACGGAGCCCATCGTCGGCGGCCAGAAATCTCATGATCAGACGTATGCACGTATGTACGTTGTGGCAATCGTAAAAAAAATCTGGCAAACTGCTTCTCGTATAAAACGTAACGCGTTTTCCGCGTCACCTTTCGTTTAGCCAGTGTGCCAGCTTCTCAGTCGGTGGCGAAAGTTTTATGGTTGATCCTGGCGACCGCCAAGTTGAACGCGCGAGGACGAACAGGATAACAATTTCGAACCGTTTGTCGGGCAAATTTTCTTCACGACCGATAGAAATATTTGAATTTCGCTCGTTAACCACCTTTTGCCCAAATCTGGTTTCGAGTGATCGTTGGAGGAACGAGGGGAACCATGGAAGGATAATCAAAGGGCGTGCAGAATGTTCCTAAAGTAGGTATCATAAACTTAGGTGCATCCTCTACTCGCCGTAACGATAAAGCAATGTTAGATTTCTTATCGTTGCGGATAGCAGAGTATACGTGTACCCCTAAAGTTTGGTTGATTATTTGGACAACACCCTGTACAAGAAAGCGAAAGCGACAACGAACGTGTGTTGTGCATCGCTCTGAGCGCGTGCATCGTGAGATAAAAAACCTCGCATGCTCCGTGAATAGAAAAAATATATAGCGGAGCTAATCGTACGTAATGTTAATCATCATTTCCAACAATTATTTCCGACGTGTTCAGACCTTGCTCTTCTATGTACAATTTCACCAGCGATCAAATACGGATCGACTGGTGTTTCTCAGTGAACGGATACGAGCAAACTCCGAACATATCCGGCGACCCGACGATTCCTTCGAGTTCGAACGCCGTATCGTCGCGATCGAGCAACGAGAACGGGAAAATCGTTTCCTCACCTTGCGATTAATCCTATCAATTTGCCGATTCTGATTCTCCAGCTCGCTGCCCATGTCGATCGCCATATTTCTCAGATTACTGATCATCGTGTTCACTTGGCCCATGTTCTCCTCCATCTCCGTTTCACGGGCGTCGTTCGTGATCTTGGCGATGTAGCCGCTCTGGGGGCCAAGGCCGTTGCGATCGTCCATCACCCGTTGGGGCTGATTGTTCACCACCTTACCGTCATCATTACCTTTCCACGTACCCTCGTCCTCCTTGAAGCTGGCGCTCCTGTTTCAAACAGCGATCAATCGATTAGCCAATCCGTACCACCGAACATGCTTCGAGGCAAACACACCGAGAAACTGTATTAATTGCTAACAAATAATTTACGAATAACAGAAATCAGATAACCAATACATGTATACAATTTTTAAATACTGTTTTCATTTCCGTTAGACATTAAATTTAACGCACAGGAAACCGAGGAAATTTCTACAAGAACTGTCTATCGAACAACTAAATATTCTGTCTTTTCTTTTTTTTAAACCTACTAACTATTACACGATACACGATTTAAGATTCGTGAACCTGTTCTTGTACAAATTTCGTCCACTGTGGTCAGGGTCCTTGGTTTGAAGTAAAAATTTTTCAGTCGAGAAGAACGCGCGCGTGTGGGTGTGTGCGTGTGTGTGTGTGTTGTAAATCAGAAGGTTCGATCGCAGACAGTGAAAGCAGACAGTAAAGCGATTTTGGGACAGTCCTACTTGTTGCACGGAAGAACGCAGAGACCGCAGCACTTTTCCATTCCGGTAAGATTTTTCTCGGCCTCCCTCATGTCGGCGTTGATCTGGTCCATGCCCTCCTCGATTCTGTCCAGTTGTTCTATTTCATCGTACGAGAAGAAAACGTTAAAATCGTTCCCCGGCGAATTACCGCTGCGGCGACTCGAAAGAGAATGGACACGCTTCGTTTAAAAATAAAATCTCAAAGGATCACAGCAATCTACGCAACGCGTCGTCTCTACTCAAATCAACAAAAAAAAAAACAGAACAAAAGAAAGGAAAAGGAAAATACTGTCCGATTCTCTTTCGATGATTCATTTTTTATTCGTTATAAAAACTGAATTGGACCGTCGTTTCCCGGATCGTCGAGAAACAAAGCACCTCCTCTCTATTTTCTACACCATTATTCGTCTACGATTCTTTGAATCTCGATCGAAAATTCGATCGAAGGTGTTTAACAAATGCTGAGCTGCCAGTACTCTGTTCCTTGATCCCGAACGACGATCAAAGGCTTTATCTTGCGAGGAGTCGCCGAGAGAATCACCGTTTCATCTTCGTGCAAAGCGTCTTGACCGTAGTATAATAAACTGAATTAAGATCGATGACTATCCGAGTATTTATAAACTTTTCTGTCTCGAATTTCGAACTAATTTTATAAAAACCTTCTCAATTCTTCGATTAATCAGTGACGGTGGCAAGAGGTCGACGTTTTCGAGACCAAGAGAACAGAAAATGGCGTAAATGTTCTCGCTGCAACGATATAACAAAGGTCACCACGATGATATCTCCCGGCGAACGATCCTCGATAAAGGAAAATAAATAAAGAAACGAGTGCAACGAAAGTGCAACAATTAAGCAAGAGTCTCCCTACTAAGGGTATTTAAATTCGGGTGAGTAGTAGCTCTGTATGTACTGGGGTGTAACGGTGGGTAGAATCTGAGGGTAACTGGGTAAAAATTGAACCAAGTATACTTAACGAGTAAGAGTATAACGCGTTTGTTGATGCTACTATATTGAAAATGTGCCGGTAAAACGCAGGTAAAGTAGAGCTGCAAATAAGTGGTACTTGACTTACACCGTGCCGGATGTAACGAAGAGAGACGTTTAAACGTGATGCGCGCGTTGTCATGCGACCCGATACATCTGTATTATACTTTCTTTGCATTTCTTTCTCTGTTTCATTGTCGTCTATTTGTTTTGTATTTGTTTTTCTCTGTTTTTGTTCGTTCGCCTTCGTGCGATTACGTTCACGTAAGGAAACGGAGTAAGAATATAGGAGGAAGCAGACGGAGAACGATAGGACGCCGAAATAGAAATAGAAATAGAAATAAAGAGAGAGAGAGAGAAAGAGAGAGAGCGCATAACAGGCAGAAATATAATAGAACGAGATTAAGAATGCGAGAAATATAGGCAAAGAGAAAGAAATATCGAAAGAGAGGAGAGAAGGTGCAAAGAGGAGAAGTGAGCAGAGCGAGTGTTCGATGATAAAAATCAAAGGAGCGTGGAACAAAACGAGGGGGGAGGAGATTAGTGAATGCAAGTAGAAGGAATGGTCGAGACGAGAAAGATCGAAGGTAAAAGAAAATGCAAGGGGGAACGTAAACGATCTGAAAGCTGAAGGTGGTGAGAAGATGTCAGTGGAAGCGAATCCCGTGATCGTTTTTTTAGTGCTTTTTTGGTTAGTATAGATTGACGAGTTCTCGATTAGAAACTGAACGTCGACGGAAGCGGGATTGCACGGTGTCTGGACGATATTTGCACGCAATTAGTGTTGTGTGCAGACATATACAACATTTGTATGTATTATGGTAATAATAATGTACGTATAGGTATTGTATATCGGCGGGTGGACGGTATACAATACGCAAAGTTACGCACAACTTCTCGAATGTTGAATTTGTGTCGGTCTAGATCGAATACAGGTGTCTGCGCGTGCGTGTACGTTTCTACGCGCGGGTACACATTTCTATGCGCACCAGCGATCGTTGCAGTTGTCACGAGGTCATGGGAAATCCCATTAGAGTTCCGTGACCTTGCGACACAAACGATCGCAAGTGTACATTTTATATGCACATATACATTAGGATGGTCCTTACTTATAGGTGAAAATTAGAATTTTACAAATCGACTAATTCCAAGGTCCACAGAATCGAAAACTGATTAAAATTCGATGGTTCGTTGCTGTAGAAAACGCAGAATTATACGAGCCACTACGATTGATCAAATATCACGTCGTCGACGATACTCCAGGAATCATAAAAAAAAATGATTAACCGACATATAGGGTGGTATCGTAACAGAAACAAAGCCTGTATCGCAATATATCTGCATATTAAAACCATTTGGGGAGGGAGAGGGGGCGAGTCGAATAAATTCAAGGGTAATAGAGCGAGGACCACCCTAATGTAGATGTACGTGTACACACAGACGCGCATATACGCACACACATACACAGAGAAACTTTTTTTTTTGTGAAAATATACGCGTTTTTTGACATTTGGTAAGTATAATGTTTGTATGTCTAGATTTGAAATGGCTTACCGCCTTGCTCGTCCAGCATTACGAGAGTTTTCATCCCGACCTCGTGGCTCTAAACAGGCAACCGACCAATCAGCGGCTGTGTTAACACACACAGGAAGGATAACAGGGAAGCACCGTCGAAACGCTCCCTCGCTTCGCTCCGCAACGCGACGCGACGTGGAAAACCATTTCACGCACAGGTTTTTTTAACCGTGGTAAAAAAAAAAAGAAAAAAAAACGATAAATCGGATGAGAGAGTCTAGAGAAAGAAGCGACAGGCAAAACTACGGTTTACGTTAGAGCACCGATTTTAAGAGGAGGATCTATCGTACTCCGCGTCCGTCTCTTTTCGTTTCTTTCCTTTCTTTTCCCCCTTCTCTTCTCTCCTCTTCTCTTCTCTACCCGCCTTTCCTCGCGTTTCCCGTTACTCGTTTCAGATTTCTCGATCGAGGAAACCCATTGTCTCTCGTCGCAAAAGAATAGATAATTGGAGGAGCGAGAGGGCGCGTACAACGACGATATTTCATCTTGATTCATTAATTCTACTGTGGATCAGGCTCTGCTGGAGGACCAGGATATATATATACATATCGTTTGTGCTCGTTAGGCGAAATTAGATGCAGATATACGGAGGACTCTGTAGCGGAATAGTTGGATTTACCAACTGAGAAACCGAAATATTTAGAGGGGCTCAGAGTGCCCGGAGGGAAGGTTATCCTCGCCCAGGGAGGATGTGATTTCGTGGAGGTTCATTCCGTGGAAAATGTAAAATGACTACTCGTAGAAACGATCGACGAAGCGAAGAAGCGAGAGGGTTGGTAAATCCAACTTTCCCGTTTTCGGAACAGAAGAACGCTTCGTGGGATAGGGAACGATTTATTGGTTACGTCGATCTGTGAAATTTCCAAGATCAAACAAGATTAGAGACAGTTGCAATAACATAGCAGTATCAGACGGCGGGGAACGTGGTTACCACGCTCTGACGTGTCGCTTCTCGTGGATCGGTTGCGAGAAGAATCTCGTCGAGGCTGGTGATCGAGTCTGGGATCCAAGATTCGGGAGTAATGAACGCACGGATTATGAGGGAGAACGATGCTGGATAAATTGAGTCGGATGAACCGAGTCGAGTTAGTGGCAAAGTGGCGCGTTAGCGATGATGCGAGAAGTCTGATATGTTAAAATAGGAGCAGACACAGGCAGAAGCAGATTAAAAGGAAGAAAAGACACGCTTCGTATATTCCAGTCTAGGCACTCGAGAGTACCGCGGCGCTGTAAGATACAGAATTGAAGGTTGTTTTTTTAGCTAAAGGACAGAAAAAGAGATCAAGAATCAGAGATGAACACGCGTCACGAGTTACCCGGGGGAGCCAGGCTGTTCTTTGGGCCCCAGTTCCGTATCCGTAAATGTCGTCGGGTACCCGCCCATCCCTACCATACACCACACACACGTAGACCTGGTGTTTACCGATCGAATCGTTGACCGCGGAAGTCACGAGCAATTCTCAAAGACGAAACGAGCCAAAGTTTACGCGGTTAAATATCGTTGTTTTCATGTATTTCGATTCGCGAGGAAACACGGTGTGTCCAACCTGAACCAAGCAATTTAAGTTATCGAAACACCAACACGTTGCAACAACATTTTTTTTTTTTGACGATCTAACATAAATTTCAGTAACTGTTTGAATACGATCGGCAAAACCAATTTCTGTGCGGACAAAAGTGTTACGTAACGCATCAAAGTTATTATTGTACGTATCACTGTAGGCTCGTGGAAGCAAAGCTCGCGAGTCTGTTCAATCGCGCCTCTTTTACTTTCAATTTTGGTTCATATTTTTTTTTAAAAAGAATTCTCTCGTAGTTGTTCGAAAAGAGAATAGTTATTTTGGAAAAACTTTTATTTTGGTTGTTGTTTTGTTTATTGCTGAGGGAACTGCTTACCGCCTTGATGGTCTAACATCGTCAGAGTGTTCGCTGCGACATCCTCGCTCTACGACAGGGTCGAAGGGCCCACACGTTAACGGAAACGAAAGATCGTTCAGTGATGCGCGTGAACAACTGCGAAATTAAGTCAGAGACAAACAAGCAGCCCGCGTGCACGCCTTGCCACAGGAGGGATCACGGATTATGCTTCGGGGAATACCGTACGATGCTAGCAACAATGAATTTTCCCATTAGCTCTACGGCGACGGTAAATTAAACGGAAAAAGTTTGTCGCGGCGGTCGAAAAGGTGTTCGTTTCGTCGAACATATTCGCCTCCGTTCTCACGAAGAATTTTTACGCGGCGATATGATTCGATGGAATCCGCGTCGTGTGACAAAACGTGCCGGGTTGTAATCAAACAGAAACTTCATAATATTCATCTATGAAAGGAAACAAGAAAAAAAGAAAAGAGTACGTTCAAGATGTACGTAACCGCGAATCGTAAGCTTCGATCGAGGACCAAGATTTTCGAGCGAATTTCTCCTTCTTTTTCACAATGCTGCTCGTACGTACACCTTGAACGTACGGTAAAGTCGGAACAAAACATATAAGAATACAATGATGAAACGATAAAAGGAGAAATGGCGCGCGAATAAACAGAACGATGACGCAAAGACGGCGACATATGATTTTTTCCGTAGAGACTAGTAGCGAGAGAAAAAAAAAAAAAAAACAGACTGTTGCGAGTCGTACTAAGGTATACAGCTAACAAATTTATATGTTTCTCTCAACTCTTGACACACAGCGGGGACACTGACGCGAACGTCTCTGCTTTGCACCATGCGCTGCGCACTGCTAAGACAATATTCGTATGAACGATATCGGTACACAGTCTTCTATTTTGAATAAAGGTTAAACGCAATAATTATGCATCGAATCGATCAAAAAGCCACGGATATTTTTGTTACAGGGACGAGGGGGGAGAGGCGGAATAAATATAGTAGCGAACAGTCTAAGGAGCGATAAACCTTTTCGCTTTTCACTCTTGTTGTTGTTGTCGTTGTCGTCGGTTCGCTTTCTCCGCCCGATCGGCGAATGCATATTTAATCACGAATCGAGCAATCGCACTACTATCGCATATATGTAATATGTACACGACGGTATTTTACAAACTCTCAGATCAAAAAGCGAAAGATAATAAATACCTACATGGTAAGACGACGGTCGACAAGTACGTTCGATGCAAAACGGGTTAAAATAACAGGGTTGAAACACAGAAAAATATTATGTATACATAGAATAATGTGTATACCGAGTACGTATCCAGAATGGCCCGATAACTATTCACGCTTTAATTGTTTCCGATATGCCAGCTGGAGGACAATTTTACTAGACGAACGTTGGCACGGTGAAAAAATAGGTCGTTTAGTATCGAAGCATACACTAACTCAACAGAAAGAATTGCGTCAAATAGATTAATTTATTTAGTTACAAAAATAAATTAAAACCATTAAATTTTTTAACTTTTTCCCCAAATATTCTAAACCACACAGCTACGATTTATTGCATTAATAAATATTTTATAAGTCATCAAACACGACCTTTATACTTCTAAATTCCACCTACAAAAAATTTGTTATTTTTCACTACCAAACGATAACTTTTCTTCTATCGTGCAACTTCCGTGCGATTAATTTTCCATTCCACACTGCATTTTTAGCAACAAATAAGGTGCTAATAGTTCTTGGATCGCTCTATATACACACTCGTTATAGGCTGACCTATTTTAATTCATAAATGAAGTTGTCGTGGAAAGCAAAGTCTAAACTCCAGTTTTCAACGTCCAACTTTTTCTCTGCTCGTGTTAAAATTTCACAAAATGTCTATTTCTATTCCGGAAATTACTACTACGACTGCTTATACCGATCGAAAGGAAAACACGATCCACGAGTAATTTAATTACTAATTAATAAAATTACTAATATAATATAGCCCGATCCTACGTTGAATAAAAAAAAAAAGGAAAAATAAAATTGCACAACTTTGCAGACGAATAGAAAAATAATGTTTTTCGGTAACTCCTGGTCTTCGACCTTCTTTCTATTCGCCGTGCTTTCCGAGATAAATACATTTATATGTTAAAATAAGGCACCCAGTATATTAGAAAATAAAAATTACGACAGAACGAGAAAGACAAACATCTACTGCTAAAACGTTTATGAATTGTAAAAACTTTGTATATGTTTTTACGCTAAATAAAAGAGGTAGGAGGTTGTATGTACATATACGTATATATACACACACACATACATATATACAGAGGATAATTCTAATACTTGGGACAGACGATGAAGCTCTGTTCTGAGCGAGGATGCATAAAAATTATGGTGAAACTATAAAAAATTTTCCTCTGTAACGTATCTCTATCTTCGCTAGAACAAAGCTGTAACTCGGTTAGTAGAATCATCCTACATGTGTATAGTACATATTCGTATACGAATCATTAAATAAATGTGTACGTATTAATACGTTTACTGAAAGCGACGCAGCTAAGAAGCTTCGTGTTCGACTATGAAGTAAAAAACAAACGTTAAACAGAAAATAAGGCAGAAAAGAATAAAGGAACGGTAGTTGTACACAATCCAGAGAAGAACGTGTTTTGTTTATGTGAGAGGTAAGGGAAGAAAATAGAGACTGACAAACACATAACTTATACGTCTAAACGAAATGCATATAGTATACATGCACACATACGTACATATACATACAGGATGTACGTTTTATCCGGAAATCTAGAACATCTTTCGTAGTTTCTGAGATATTCTGGATTTCCAGATAGAACACGGACGAACAACCTGCACAGATACGTAGATATATGTGTACATGTATACAGACACACGCACACACACGTACACGAGAATACACGTCTACGCACCGAATACTTGATTGCTGGTGTGTAACAGAGGCAGAAACAGAATGTCGCGATAGACAGATAGATAGATAGACAGACAGACAGAGAGAGAGAGAGAGAGAGAAAATGGGAGAAATAGAAGCACAAAGATAAAGAGTATCATCGAATGAGAAAGGTTTCGAAAGGATGAAAAGGCCGGAATCGTGGACGTACAAAAGGACAAAGAAACAAAACAGATCGTTTTGAATGACTCAGTTCGATCCGCGCACTGAATATGACACATTCTGTACAAAGATTCGACTACAGGCGTTTCGAATCCATCGTATTCGTGTACATACTGGTAGCAGCAGCAGCGATAGCAGCACCAGCAAGGATAGAGTTAGGTGGTTGCAGTAGTTGATGTCTTTGTCGTATTAGTAGGTAATAGTGGTAGTGTCGTATTTAGCGGTCCATGCAAAAGTTAGGGGAAATCGACTCGAATACCGCAACAATTTAAAATCGTTCTTAAGCGACGAAACAATAAAAAAAAGTAGAAAAGAATTCTGCTTGTAGGAAAGATCATTTTTGTTTAAATGTGTTCCATTGTTTCCGCTACTTTTGCATCTACCCGCGACTGTAGCAACGTTAACGATGTTCGACGATATTAGTGATGTTAGTGGTGGTGACCAGTAGAGTCGTAGTAACGGTACGAGTATAGAAATAGTACTAGTAGTAGTAGTAGTAGTAGTAGTAGTATTTGTATAGTAGGATTATTGTACAGTGGTAGTTGGCTGTCGCTTTTCTTCGTCAACCGCGAATTCGCACCGTCTCGTTTAGACATCTCTGCTAATACATACATCTAACCTGTACTTGTGAAGCAAATCTATCGCTACTTCTCGGTTGCAATAGTTAATTGAACAGGGAATTGCGTGTATAATTCCAGTTTCACAGCAGTTGGGACGTGATATCGACGTTTCGTAAGGTAGCCTCGAAGAAACGCGCGCGACAGACTCGAATTTCGAGAAGCAACAAAAAGAAGAAAAAATAGAGAAACAATAAACGCGAACTGGAGCAACATCGATCGAAGAGTGCCGGTTTGACCGATGCGTCCGACCATACATCAGTTTTTCTACTTGAAAAGATATTCAATGGTTCTGAGCTTCGAATCGTATTCGAATCTTCATTGTCTGAGAAACTTGGGAACATTTCAAAGCTGAGATTCGAACAGTCGATTGACAACTATCGCGCTTTCACGGTACAACGAAACGCTATTAATAAGCGTGGGCTTCCTGTGACCTGTAACGAATAAACGCGCCGACTGGAAGACGGAAAAAGTAGAGAACGTGTGTGTACATGGCGTACGGGATCGATCGCGGCTCGCGATCTCCTCTCGAATCGTGTGCATAGAAGCGACACGGTTCCGTCGACTCCACAGTGTCAACTTTAAAAATAAAAAAAAAAACTTGTTCGATATATGACTCGAACGAGAGAAAACTCTCTAAAGAAACGCGTCGAGCGCGTTGGATTTTCTCGTCGGGGGTCCGGCAAATAAAAAGAAAGAAAGAAGCGTCGAACGATCGAAAGAACGAGCAAGTATGTTTCTCGTACTATGAATTGTGATCGTCGAGAGTGTCGGGAAACGTAGGAGGCGGGCATTCACGAAGGATGAACGTTCCGTCGGTAGCCTTCGACGCGAAATGTAATCAAACATCCATGGATGGGTACGATGGAAGAAGGTTTCAGTTAGCTTCGATTTAACACGGGGTTTTGTGTACCACGGACACGGGTTACCATTGTATGTGTGAGTGTATGTGCGTGTCGGGAGCGGATAGGGGCGAGAAAAGGCAAAGTTCCCTCTTCTGTTCGTTTACTTATATGGCTAAAAAGCGATTCACTCACCTCCCTGGTCATCGAGCGCGACCAGAGTACGGATGCCAGCCTCCTTGCTCTACGACAGACAGAGGCAGCACAACACAGACAACCACCACCAGTGTTAAAGAGTTGTTTTTTTTAGTAGTAAGTATATAGTATAGTAATATTAGTAGTATATTAGTAGTATATAGTATTACGGTATTAGGCAGAGACGGAGGGTGTACGGAGAGAAGTCGATGGAGAGAAGTGGGCAAGCAAAGTTTAAGGTTTTTCGCTTTCTCGCAAAACAGTGCTAGATATATAT